TGCCGGACAAAAACTTTCAAAACAAACTACTTTTCGTTCGGAGACGCTGTAAAATCGTAGGTATGACAAGATAGACTCCATGATTGGGGTATGAAATATCAAAATGATACTCGTAGATTACTTTCTCGACCCTCGGCTAGCAATAGCAACTTCCGACTATGACCCTTTTAGAAATAGTTCCTCATGAAGAAAAATTTTTGAACGGGACAAGCTCTAGCTTCCTCCAGTTGTACGTAAATACATATATCAGCATGAAGGCACACAACTTTGATTAGTGAGGAAAAATATATATGTTTATCTGATTCCGTCTAAGTTAGGTCTGAATAATGTGGCCAGGTATTTAGTGGTACCAATATGGGTGCCGAGCACTTAGTTTCCCATGCGTCCGACAGCTCGGGCCTGTTCGAGGCACGTAATAAAAGCGGCATTACTGCCGCCTAAATGACAACACGTTGCTAGAAATTCACACCGAACGTGATACTTTAATAATTCGCACAACACTGCGGTTGTGATTGCAACTCAAACAAGCCCCTCTTCTCGGCTGTAAGGGAAGTTCGTGCCAAGATCTTTAGACCCCAGTTTCTGGCAAAGCCAACACAGCTGAGGAGAAATTTTTGCATTGATTCCACCGCATCTCAAAAAAGCTGGGAAAATGTTCAGGCATAGTATTCGTCTCACCGACTAAATTTCAAGCGGAAAATCGAGAGTTGCGGGTTTTCGTGCCGTCACAGGACCAGCAAAATGCACTCACGTAAGTCCTCTCTATCCAAGCTCGTCCGTAGGTACGCCGAGCTGAGCCAAATTCACAGGCACCTAGCCAACTCAACTGCCTTACAGTTTTCTGATACATCACTGTGACCTGTTGCCTATTTAAATCTTAATTGGATATATTTTGACGGTACCGAAAAGTCAAATATTCTCAGATTCATTTTGTGTGCACCGTTAGCGATCTCTGGTTGCCGCTTGACTTTGGCATCACATAGTCGAGCAGCCAATTAACTGCAAGCTCTTTGCAGTGGCGGGTACAGGGGACCAGCGAAGTCGCTCGCGGTTGCCAACTCCAATGAGGCTTATTATTGGCTAAAACATATTTTCCTGTAAATCCTGTACAGGGCTAATGCTTTGAAAAAAATTTGGACATACAGTTAATCCTTATTTTCAGAAACTAAAAGATGTTAAAATCCCCGGCCGTCGCATACTAAGCGGCACAATGTGGGTAATTGCGACTGGACGAAATGCGCTGATTGTGCTCATAGCCAGCGTTTTAGCATATAATACATGTGAAACACGCGAGTCTTGTGTCTTCGTATTGACAGGCAAAGTGAAGAGTGGTTTTCCAGATGTCGGGCTGCCCAAATTCCACACAACAATAGAGGCAGCAAATGGTACTGCAATCGAACAGGACTATGTGGATATGGTAAGTGACTATACTAAAACAACAAGCGCTTGCTTTAAAGTACTTAAATACATATTTTTAATTTTTTCTTCACAGTTCAAAGAACTTGGTCCCTCGATGATTATATTGCCCATAATCGCCGTGCTGGGTAATGTTGCCATATCGAAAGCTTTCAGCAGCGCTGGCATAAGTCCTACTCGCGAATTGATTGCGCTTTCGCTCTCCAATGTGATTGGTTCGTTCTTCTCTTCAATGCCGGTGACGGGTTCTTTTTCACGCAGCGCTGTAAATCATGCGAGTGGCGTGCGTACACCCATTGGTGGTTTCTATACTAGTGCGTTGGTGCTATTGGCGCTTGGTTTGCTGGCGCCTTACTTCCAATACATTCCAAAAGCTGCATTGAGCGCGGTTATCATATCAGCGGTGATATTTATGATCGAATTTGAGGTGAGTGGAGTGAAATAGACTGTTTGGAAACCGGGCGTTTCTCGGAAACCAAGAGAGGTTTCTATGACGTTTTAGCAGGCAGAACGTGGGACTGAGTACGAGCCAATCGCGTATTTAACATGCACCGGGGGATAACCGACTTATAGCTTTGGAGAAGGCTCTTTTCCGGTGATGGACATTGACGCAGGCTCGTTGGAAGTCTTTCGACCTAAATAAAAACTGAAAAATATCAAAGCTTGAATATAATTTTCACATGAATTTTAAAAGTTCTCAAAAACTTATCAGTTTTTAAGGTTTTCGTAGCATTTTCTTTAGTTAAAGCCAAATATCTCTAATGCCGTTTTATTCTTTTCCCAACAGGTCATCAAACCTTTGTGGCGCTGCAGTCGTCGCGAATTGCTGCCCGGTGCAATAACATTCGTTGTGAGCTTAGCCATTGGTGTCGAGATCGGTTTGCTGTTGGGCGTTGGCGTGGATGTGGCATATCTGGTGTATCGCGCTGCCCGTCCAGCACTTAGTGTCTCCAAATTACGAGTAACATAGCCATAAAGAATACTGTATTCGCGAAATGTAAACTTTCATTCTAACTATTTCAGACCACTAACGGTATTGAGTATATTCTCATGCGCCCGATACACAGCTCACTCTACTTTCCAGCAATCGAGTGGGTACGCACTGGCATTTCAAAGGCTGTGGCGATGCATGGCATTGCGCCAGTGGTGCTGGATTGCGCTAATATGCATGGTAAGCAATATTCATAGAGTTTTGATCTAAACAAAAAAGATGAATGTTGAACGAAATTTTCCACCTACGCAGAACTCGATTTCACAGCTGCGCGCGGCATGGGCGCGGTGAATAAGGAGTTGGCAAATAGTTCTGTGCCACTATTTTTCATGAAAGCTTCCAAAGAAATCTGCATTATACTAAAAGAATCTACAAATTGTGATTTTGCAACTATACAATCGCCGGATGATTTAGAATACATATTGGATAATAGTAAGTAAAGTGCAAAGAAATAACTTTGAAGTTCGTCAAAGTCAAATCTAACTACAAATTTCGAAGTTCGTGAGAATGTGCAATAGGGTGGTACAAAAGTGCGTGTTAAAAAAAGTAAAGAACGAAGTTATATTTTATATAGAAACAAACAGTTGTTCATGAAACTGGTATAGAATTCTTAAAATTCAATCAAATCAATCTCGAAAAACTCTGTTTCTCTTCAGAGGACTGTTGGTAATAATACCCAATTGTTTACTTTAAATATTTTTAATACTAACGATGGGTCACGACATCGCTTTTTTTGGGGTTTTTGGAGGACCTATAGAAAATAGTTAATATTAAAAAATCCTTACTAATCCTTAATTCTTAATCCTTAATCCTTGATTTTAAAAATGCGAAAGTGAGTTTGTTTATTTGTTACGCTCTCATGCCTTAATTACTCAACCGATCATCATGAAATTTAGTACACTGATGTCATTTAGCTCAACTTAAAATACAGGATAGATATAATCTCGAGTATACAAGGGGGCGTGGCACCTCTCATATAAATGAAAAAGTTGTGTTTTGAAAATAATTTGAAAAGGGCTGCCACCAGTTTGAAGTAAAATTTAAATTAATAATTATGAATTTGAAAAATTAAAATATGGGTGTCAAACGAAAAATTGTTAAGAAACCTTTTGTTTCAACATTTAGAATATTATTGAGGCATTTTACTATGGTTGCCACCCGTTTAAAAATTAAATTCAAATAAATTAAATGAATTGCTGCAATATGGGTGTCAATCGAAATGTTTTTGAAAAGGGTTTTAGCTCTTAACTATATGGAGGACTATTGCCACCTGTTTGAAAAATCAAATTCTACTTGAATTAAGGGGATTAGATAATTGGAATATGTATCACACAATGGGTGTCAGACCAAAGAGGTTTAATAAGGTTTTAGTTAGAAAATATTTTGGAGAGGGCAACCTGTTTTAAAAGTCGAACTTAAATTAATTATACTCAAATTACAGTGTCAAACGTAAGAGTGTTTAGTAATGTTCAGCTTGAACATCTAGAATCTTCTGAGGTATTTGAAGAGTGTTTAGAAATGTTCAGTTTGAACATGTTGAATCTTCTGAGGTGTTTGAAGAGGGCTAACACCTCTTTTAAAACTAAATTCAAATATGTACAATTATATTATAAGTTAAATGAGTTATTACAATATAGGTATCAATCGAAAGTCTTGAAAGGGCTTCATTTCTAAGCTACAAATGCATAGCAGGGTTTACACATATTTGAAAGTTCAAATTCGAAGGAGGTTTAAAAAGGTTGCCAATTGTTCAGAAAGTTAAATTTAAACTATTCAATAATTTTAATGAAGTATTACAATCGGTGTATCAATCGAAATGGTTTTTAAAAAAATTTAAATTCGCCTGTGCTCGCTTAGTTTCAGTATGTCAAGATATATTGAAATAAATTACACCTAATGTAGTGGTTAAACAAATCGTTCGATATTATTAATTTTCGTAGTACTTTCCAAGAATTCTATACCATATTACTACATGAAGTTTCCTGAAGAAATCACGAGTTTTCCGATCGAAAAATATGGGCTTTAAAGAATTCTGCACTATTTCTGCGAAAATTTGTTTTTTCCCCCATATTAAAAACCTGGAAAATTTTAAACGCTTTGGGCGACCACTAAATATTTTTTTCGGTATAGAAAAATTCTAGGCGGTGAGAGCCTTAAAACTCAAACTTACTCTTTTCTTGGATCACCCTAATGCACAACTAAAAACTAACAAAGAATCCTACACTTATATATTGTACATGTACTAACATCTGTTTTTTTTTGTTTTAATCCTTTCTCAGCGTTATCGATCGATGATCATCGTTTGCAAGTTACCATTCCACTAATTTCTGCACAAACTAAACAAAATGGCGATTGATGACCGTGGCGGTCGTTTGTAGTGCTTTAGACATAAGTTTTTGAAGGTTATTTATAAATGTATTAGGTTATTACAATTTGAAAAACCCAATTGTGTTTAGATATTTTGAGAATTCTCTAAACGGAATTTTCTTAAAATGGTTGGCTAATGCTGTTATAAGTATTTTTACAAGTATGCAATCCCTTGCGTTTATAGATCAGTACATACATATCTATGAATGTAGATAACTATTTTATATTTTTTGGAAATGACTCTTTTATTATACATATGTACATATGTTTATAAGACTGCATCACTCCAAATACAAACAAAAGTCGGTACTGTTTTTCCATTGGAAGTATAAAATCTATTATATTTTAAGACGTCCACCAAAATATTTCGGAAAAATATTAAGATTTAAGCGAGCTGGACCGATTTGAAAATACTCAAAAAAATGAAGTTTTTTATGAATAAAAAAAGTTTCTTAAAGATGTTTTTTAAATCCCCTCAAATGACTAAACGGTTTAAGCTTAACAAATTTACATAAAAATACTTTTAAACAAGTAAGAAAGTCTAAGTTCGGGCGGAGCCGTACATTAAATACCCGGCGCAAGTATTAAATATATGTTTTTTTCACCTTTCCGAAACCTTCCGCTAGATGGTAAGCCGGGGTGTATCAATTTTGAGTAAATTAGCGTCCTTCAATTTCGAAATATTGAAGTTTCAAGCATTTCTGAAATTTACCGTTACATGAGAAGCGGCCGTTATTTTAGTCCGATTTCAATCATTTTCAACGTTTTGCTATATGTGGCAAGCACAATAACCACACCGAGTTTGGTACAAATTGGCAGAACGGTTACCGATATACTTATATGTGATCATAAGTGGGCGGTGCCACGCCCATTTTCCAAAATTTTACCATAAACGTATTCCTTGGTAAAGAATTGTTGCAAGCATCAATTTTGAATAAATTTGCTTCAATATTTACTGATTTATCGAAGATTTTGTATTTCTCTAAATTACCGTTATATGGGATGTGGGCGTGGTTATTGTCCGATTTTAAAAAGTTTCGGCGATTTTTTATGCTGTACCAAGGCCAACAACTGTGCCCAGTTTGGAAGAAATTGGTGCAGCGGTTACCAAGATATACACATGTAACCATAAGTGGGCGTGGCTACGCCCATTTTCCAAAAATTTATAATATTCTTATGTTTCGTCTAAAAATTATTGTAAATATCAATTTTGAGTGAATAATCTCCAGTAGTTACTAAAATATCGCAGTTTTCGTATTTCTGAAAATTACCGTTATATTGGAAGGAGGCGTGGTTATTGAGCGATTTTAAAAATTTTCGGCCATTTCGTATGTTGTGCGAAGGCCAACAACTGTGCCAAGTTTGGAGGAAATTGGAGCAGCGGTTACCAAGATATACACATGTAACCATAAGTGGGCGTGGCTACGCCCATTTTCCAAAAAGTTATAATATTCCTATTTTTCGTCTAAAACTTATTATAAATATCAATTTTGAGTGAATTATCTTTATTAGTTACTAAAATATCGCAGTTTTCGTATTTCTGGAAATTACCGTTATATGGGAAGTGGGCGTGGTTAAAGTCCGATTTCGCCCATTTTCAATACCAACCTACCTTGGATTAAGGGAAACCTACATACCAAATTACGTTGAGATATCTCAATTTTTGCTCGAGTTATCGTGTACACGGACAGACGGACAGACGGACAGACGGACGGACAGACAGACATAGCTTAATCGATTTCTTTTTTCATCCTGATCATTTATGTATACATTTGTCTATATCTATCTGGATTCGTTTTGGCTGTTACAAACAACCGTTATGTGAACAAAATTAATATACCCTTGTGCACAAGTGCGCTCGGGTGTAAAAATAAAAGAAAATTTGAACGGAATAATGGGATTTTTGATGCTGTTTTTTAACTTTTTTCAAAGATTGCTATAAGAAAAACTTGAATAACTGAACCTAAAATCTTCCGATTTAGACCTGTGAGGCATCATGGGAAAGGTATTTTCTCACCCTTTTTATTTCTTTGCTCATTCAAAAGATGAAAAAAAGGTAGGATGAACGAATATCACTCAAAGTTGAATTAAGATGGTATTTGAAAAAAAAAGTGCACACGAATGACTTTTTTTGCACATAAATAAAAATAATGGGAAATACCTTTCCACAGAGATCCCATAAGTCTAAATCAGAACAGTTTTGGCCCAGTTATTTAAGTTTTTCGTAAATCAATCTTTGAAAAAACTAAAAAAAAACAGCATCAAAAATCTCATTATCACGATTCCGTGGAAACGATTTTTAAATATTTTTATGCAGACTTTTTTTAGCCTCATCTGTTTCGTCATCTGAGGGGACTTTTTTCAAAAAGTTCTTTAAGAAACTTTTTTTATTCATAAAAAACTCCATTTTTGGAGGTTTTTTTTAAATTGGTCCAGCTCGCATAAATCTTAATATTTTTCCGAAATATTTTGGTGGATGCTTTAAAATATAATAGGTTTTGTAATCCCGGTGGAAAACCCTCAACGTTTTTTGGTGATGCAGTCTAATGTACATATTAAATTTTTTAGAGTTGTTAGAGTAAGTTATTGTAAAACATGACATTTTTATTTTTTTTGAGACAAACTTTAAAATCGTATAATTAAGGGAATTTCCTTAAATATATTTAGAGTAGAACTCCATAAGCGAGTTCCAGGCCCTCAGCATTTTTCAGATTTCAGGCGCTAGTAAGGGCTGAAACTCCGAAAAGTTCTGAAGAAATCAAAAACTGGATGTGAAGTTCTATTATAAGTTTTCTTATATCCATGTCATTTAGAGTTTAAATTATTGCTAGATAGACATTTCTATCGTTAATTTAGACCTGACCGTAGTGATGTATTTTTATAACATTCGACTGGGCAAAACACTTTCTGTATGCAAATTTTTATTTATTTGCTTCTTTAGCAGCTGACATCAGACGCTATCTCCTTTACGATAATTTAGTTGCAGGCATTTGAATTTGAGTGTCCTCACCAGAGTTGGCCACTAAATGTGAAATGGTGTTAAGAATTGGCCTGATGTTTTAAGTACCAGAAGAAGAGGAGATGTACTCATAAAAAAGAATATAAAAATGACCAGAAGCCGAGCTGAGTTGATTTTGTCATTCCGCCTATTTGTCTGTTTAAATGCAATCAAGTCGCTCAGTTTTCGAACAAGACATAGATCGAATAACTATAAACTATAGTTTCTATACAACTGATTGTTCAGATATAAGTTTTTGCGATATAATTCATATATGTAGGACACTGGTCTAAAATTTTTAATTTCAATGTGCAACCTCTCACAAAATAAATGTTCTGTCTTCTCTTTTCGGTCCCTAGAAATATACTATATATGGGTATTTTCAAACTGGCATTACGTAACGCTTGTATGACAAAATGTTAGGAAAAGACTTAAAAAGTCAAAATTTTAAAAAGGTTTTTCTAAATTTGCATAGCAATTAAATGGC